CAAGCCCGGAGGGAAAAGATGTCATTGAGAGAAGAGAGGTCAAAGGGAATCGGGAGGAATTTCTAAGCGCTCAAGCCCTCCTTCCCCACCCCTTGGAGAGGGGCTGTGAGAGGGAACAGACTGAGGATCAGCCTGAGGGAGGGCCAGGCTCTCGGTTTCTCTGTCCGTCTGTTTCTCCAGGGCGGCATGGACCGAGCACGGGCAGGAGCCGCTGTCCACGGAGCCGCCCTCCCGGTTATGATTTTATGGTTTTCATCACATATTGTGGAGGGAGGGCCTGGGTGGAACAGTCCCCTCACTGTAAGGGCCCGCCACAGGAGCCACATTAACGAGGAAGAGAAGGGGGGGGGGGGCTGGGGAGAAAGAGGGAGACACACATACCCTCAGACAGAGACCCGGAGAGACAGTTGGAGACAGAGAGACCCTGTTCCCACCAGATGAAAGCTCTCAGTGCCCGGGACGGCATTACTTGGAAACCCTAAATACATGACTTTATCAAAACTGTTGCGAAGGAGGAGGCAAACAACCAGGTAAAAGGAATGGCCAGGCTGGCTCACTAGGAGCCTTGCCTCAGGGACAGGATGGTTTCCCTGCCCACCCACCCCCACCACCCCACCCCCACCTTTTCATTCTGCTGAAACCTGAGCCCTTGCAAGGATTAGGTCTTTTAAACCACTGCTGCCACCTCTCCCCCCTCCTCCAAAAAAGCAAAGCAAATTAATGCTTTTAAGTTAACAATCAGCTTGGTTATCCAGTCTGTCTACTTTAAAATACACAGACAGGCACTTGAACAACACTCAAAACCGTGTACACTCCTGCTCGCTCGCTCGCTCAGTCACAGGAACTCCCCACCACTCCTCCACCCATCAGCCCGGAGGGCACTCACACAGCCAGCTCACACCCAGCACCAGCCACATTCCCTGGGGAGGTTGCACACGCACACGCAAGCACACACACACACACACACACACACAATGTTCCCTGGGGCAGCTGTACACACACACACACACACAGTTTCCCAGGGAGGCTGTACACACACATACACACATGTTCCCCAGGGAGGCTGTGCGAGTACACACACACACACACACACACACTCACTCACTCTCTCTTGCGTGCGCACTTTTACACAGAGGGCTCCGGGCCTGGCTTTTCTCCACTGTGGACCCACCACAGAAGAAGGACAGGGACCCACAGACCAGAGGATCCACTAAGTCCAAGCAAGATGCTGGCAAAAGGGTGCTTGCATTTTAAAGACCTGCCAGGGCTTCATTTCCAAGCCTGTCTCATTAAAGGGCTAATTCCCAGCACTGGTGATGTTTGCAGGGTCTACATGGGGGCAAGGGCAGCCCTCTCGGTCCATGGGTAAGGTTGTAAGGCTGCCCTGCGGGATCAGTCCTTGTCTGTCCTACAACCTCTGCCTACAGATCTGGGTCCGGTCCAGAGACTGCCCTGAATAGAGCAAACTTGAAGTCAGGCAGTCCGGGTTATAGATTTCCTGAAGAGCAGGGTCAAAGGTGGCTGAAAGGAGGGGCTACCACTCTACACCAAGCTCTTGGGAATAAGCGCTGGTGGGAGAGGGTGTGCAAAGATGCTCAGGGGTCTCCACCCTCCTTGCACTCCCCACAGCACCCAGCAATGAGGTGGTCCAGTGAATGAGGGAGCCGGGAGCCTCTGGGAGGAATTCTCAGTCCTTCTGTGCCTGAAGGTTGGGGCCACCTCCCAGGCTTGAGGGCCATGGCCTCCTAGCACCTGTCCCTTCTCGGGGTCTTCATCTGTCCCTAGGACCCCCTCAGATACACTGCTTGCTCTCCAGCCCCCCCCCACCTCACTAGGCCCCCAGAGACACTGGCTCCAACTTGAAAGAGCCCCTTATCTTGTGTCTAGATGGCTGTACGGAATCTGCTTTCAGACCAAACTCCCCGGCTAATTCCACCTTATGAGTAAGTCAGAGCACACGACAAAAGCCAGCTTTGTTTACCAGGACACCAGCAACCCCACAGTGGGGAGAGGGGCTGCCCCCAGCTGCGGATGGACATGGTGGGGAGCAGGGGCAGTTGGAGTAGGAAGGGCAGTCTCTGACAGGTGAGGGAGGGGCTCTGGGGCTCCAGTCCTGTAGTGGGCAGGGTGCAGACAGAGAGAGCTGTGGGAGAGGAGGGTGGCGTTGACAGAGTGTGTGTGTGGGGGGGGGGGGGGGGGGCATCTTCCTTTCAACGGAGCAGGAACCCATCTGTGCCCAGTGCAGCCAAAGAGCCCAGTGCTCGGACTGAAGCCGGGACACAGTGACTTCACGGCCAGACACTCAGGCTTCCCCAACTCCCAAGTTCAACTTTCCCTTAGGGCCACTTCCTCACCCCAGCTTGGCTTCCGGCGCCCCTGGGACGAGACACAGAAACAGTAGCTCCTGGGCCAAGCCTTGCCGCCTGAGGAGGAATTTTCTTTTGGGGCCGTATATAAATAATCTCTTCATTGGTGAGGGCGTGATGGGGGAGGGGTAGGCAAAAAGGTCAAGTGGGAGGGGAAGCTGGCCCCAAGACCACTGTCTTCACACCCCGCACGGTTTCTGCCAGCACAGCTCGCGAGTTGGAAGGTGCTGGGCTTTGGGAGCACAAAGTCAAGGAGCCCGGGGTCCGCGGTGGGGGCGGGAGGGCCTCCTGGGCTCTCTCTCTCCTAATTCCTAGAGGGATCTGTCAGAGCTCCCGAGCCTGGAATTTTACTTTGTTATTTTAGTGCAATTCGGACCTGGATTTAAATGGAACTGGAAACCCGAGGTCTTAATAAATAAATATTATGATAAGAAATAAAAGCCGGGCAAGACGAAAGCGATTTCCCCCCAAAGAGGCAGAAACACAACATTCTTGCTGTGAGCCAGTCACAGAAAAGTCTCTTCCCCTCCGCAGCCCCCTAACATGCAGCGAGAGGCGAGCAGTTGGTTTTTCCGCCCACGATCCCCTTTTCCACGGCATGCTCCCACCGACAGGGCAGCAACTTTGAACTTTGCTGGCTAACTTGGCATAAAAGGCTGCGGAGCGAGCAAGGAATACTTGGAGGGTGGCTGAAAAGCGTCCACTCGGTCCCTCGGGGCCACCGCGCTAAGTTTCCGACAGTGTGTATGTAAGGAGGCGGCTCTCTCACACTCGGGCGCAGGCTTAGGGTGGCAGCGAAGGCGCTGTTACATCGCGCCCCAACTTCTGGCTCCTCCGGTCGTTATCTCCGGGCGCACCCCTCACCCCCACCCCTACCCGAGCTCGGGTCCGCTGCTGGGGAGTCCGGGCGCCCCGGGCCCAGTCCTGACAGCAGCACTCATCCCAGCACCTGCCCTGCCCCTTGGGAATGGCGCCCCGGCCTCGGGCTCCCCAGCCCCGCGCCCCTGCTTCCTTACCTTGCGCGGCTTTGCTGTGCTGGGCGGCTCGCGCGTGGACCAGCAGGACCAGCAGGCAGAGCCCGGGCACGCGCCCCGAGCCCATGGCCGGAGCTTGGCGCCGCCGGGGCAGGTCTCCCAGCCCGCGGTGGGCGGAAGCCGGCCGGGACGCCGCGCGCCTGCGGCGGGAAGGGGCAGGGCAAGGGGTGCGCCGCCGGGGCCCGGCTGGGGGCTGCGAGCGCGGCGCGGGGTGCTGGGCGGCGAGCTCCCGGTGCCGCCGGCTGCTCCGGCCGGACGCCGGCGAGAGCGAGGCGAGGGGCGCGCGGCGGCCGCAGGGGCACCCCGCTCTCTCCACGCCGGGCTCCGTGGAATCCCACCCGGGACCGCGCTCCGCCGGAGAGAGCTGCCCCGGAGCGCGCGGCGCCCGAGCGAGGACCTGAGAAAGGGGAGGGGAAACCGACGCCAGAAACACGCCCTTTCGGCCTCTCTTTCTCCCCGGGCGCTCGGGCTCCGGCTCTTTTTCTTCGCCTTTCTCCTCCTCCTCCTCCTCCTCTTTCTCCTCCTCTTCTCGCTCCTTTTCGATTTTCTTCCTCCTCCCCCGCCTCCTCCTCCACCTCCTTTTCCGTACCCTTTTCCTTTCAAATGGGGCCTCGGCGCGGCGGCCGCTCCCCCCGCGCGCCGGGGCGCAGCGGCCCCCTCCCCAGGCTGCCGGGCTGCTGCCTGCAGGAATTTACAATCCGGCGCTGGGGGAGCGGGCGCGGTCTCCATGGAGACGGCTTCCCCGGGAGCAAGGAGGTCAGGCGCAGACCGCGCACAATCAATGGATCAATGCAAACCCGCTCGGCTCCAGACCAAACAGCACCCGGCCGAGGCTCGCCTTCGCTCCCCGCCGAAAGAGTGGGGGAGCGAGGGTGCGGCCCCCGCGATCGCAGGCGAAGAGGGCCGGGCGGCGCTGCTTTGCACGCACACGGGGACCTCCCTGTCCCCCCTACGAGGAGACAAAGGGGACGTGATCTTTCGGGAGTCCGAGGCCGACGTGGACTCAAGGACACTCAGGCGTGCCCGCCAACACGCGGGACACAGCTCCAGCGGCCCTCCCAACTCTTAACCCCCCCCACACACACACCTCCATTCTTCAGGCCAAGGCCACTTAGCTCTGGACCCAAAAGAAATTAGCCTTCCTGCCGAAGCAGGCAGAAACCACCTCCTCGCAGTGGAGACCTGAGAGGCTGCCCGCTGAGCCACCCTACCCAGGCGGCCAATGATCCGCTCACTTGCTCTCTCAGCACAGGGCAAAAGCGAGCCCACAGAACCGTGACTGCGGACACACACCACACACACACACACACACAAACCCACAGAACCGTGACTGTGGACACACACACACACACCTCCTACACACACGTTGTCCCTCCAAACCGGCCCTTACAGGTTCAAAACACGTGGTCTGACCCTCCATGCCTCCAATTGCATACAGAGAAAAGGCGTGTTTGGAATGAGACTAAGGTGCGTTGAAGGAGCAGTGTCCTCAAACCATCAAAGGCTGGTCAGTGTCCTGACCCACTCACCCACTGTGCACCTTCTCTCCTCCCACCGCAGACAACTTGGGGGAGGGGGTTTTTGGGGAAGGTGGGGAGCTTTCTGGGAGCTGGGGCGCCATCAGCCTGAGACGCTACCCACCCCAAGGCAGTTCTCCTGCTGTCAGAGCCAGTTGTCTACAGGAATGGACTGCTGGAGTCCAGCCTGGTCTCTCAGCGAGAGCTCCCGGGGTGCCCAGGGACCCACAGGCTTTCCCGGAGGTGAGCTCAGTTCAGAGTGTAGTTGATGCTGCAGTTAACAGCAGCTGGGGTACAGACCGAGCACCCCCAGAGGAGCCCTCCCCTCTCTAGGCATGAGTAGGCTAAGCACCGAGGGGTCTGGGCTTCTTGCCCCAGTTCTATCCTGGGACAAAGATTCACCTTGCATACCAGTCCCTTCTCAAGGGGCCTCAGTTTCCATATCTGAAAATCAGGCCTGTTGGCTTTGCTCCATGGTGGAAACCTGGGAAGTCTGGGAGAGGTGGCCTTGAGAGCCCCAGCCCAAGCAGGGCAGGAGAGGTAGCCACTGGGATGAGCCGATGGTGTGGGAGCCAGATAATCTCCAGGTCCCTTCTAGCTTGTCCCTAGAGGACTCCCTCCCTCCTTCATTCCACTGGCAAGCCCCTCCCCCTTGCAGCAGCCTTGCCTGCTGCCACCAATTATGCTTTGGGCTGGGGGACAAGTGCAAACTTGCATCCTCCAGATCCCAAACAAGAGCGTGAGAGAGAAAGATGTAGAGGCTGCTAGACCGGGCCTGATCCCTATGGGGGCAGAGGGAGCATGCCAGGAAGCCCCACAAGGCAGTGAAGGGGGCTTGCACTCTGCCTTGCTTTGGGCATGAGTATTGGTTCTTCTGGGTCCCTAAAGGTGGGCCCAGCCTGCCCTTTACCCCTGAGCAGAGGTGGACATGGAGGATTCTGTAGGGCTAGGTTCGGGGTTATCTAGTTCCGTGTGATTTGCTGCTCCTCGAAGTGTAGACATAGCCCTGGGTTAGGGGAGAGAGACTTGGGCAGGTGCCCTACCTGAGCTGCTCTATGTTTGGGAGCTTGGTGGGTGTCTCCTTCCTCATCCTGTCAGCTTCTCCCCTGTCTGCTTCCTCTGCTCCTCTGGAGTCTTGAGAGCCCTCCTTCCATATCTGTTATCCCGCCCACCCCAGCCTTTTGGAAGATCCCATAGGGGCAGAGGCAGGGCTTCTACCACTGGGGCACTATGAATAGGTCACATTGCCCCTGCCCTGTCTGCTTCTGTAGGACTCACAAGGGCAGAAGCAGTGACAGGCACCATCGTGGTCACACCCGCCCCAGCAGGGGCAAAATGACCAGTGTTTTCCAGGCCTCTGATTCCACCTTTCAGGCTGCAATTAGCTCTTGTCCTTCACGCTCCTTGAGAGATGCTTCTGACATCCCTGTCAGTCTGACTTCACCGGGAAGTGCCCGGGCTGGAGGCCCAGGGCGGAGGTATCTCAGTTCCCATCCTCCTTAGTGATCCCTCGGGTGGGGTCTCACCCACACCCACATGCTCACACCTTTCCCCCCCGCCCTCCCCCACCAGCACACCTTCCACCAGCCTTTGCTATGACTCCCTGCATCTCAGCCTCCCCATCTACCAGGCCTCCTTCCCTTACAGGTAGGAAAGGCTAGTGGGGAGCATGCGTGCATCCCCTGTCCAAGGCCAGTGTCAGACCCTGTCATTGCCCAGTCATCTACCTATTTGGGGGGTGGAGCTGGAGGGGTGTATTTCATGTCTCTGAGCCTCACGTTCCTTCCCATAACGACACCAGGGTCTAATGGCACAGACTCTCCAACAAGCCTCCAGTTCGAATCCCAGCTCTCTTACTTTCTAGGCAAGTGACTTCCGCAGGCTGCTCAATCTCAGGCAACCTCTGTTTTTGCCTCCAACAACGGGCCACCTACCCCCTGAAGTTCTGGGGGTGATGAAATGAGACGAGGTATGGAAAACACATGGTACACAGCAGGCAATTAAAAGGTGGAGGCTGCTGTGAGTTGCTAATCACAAGGCCAGCAGTTCAAAACCTTCTTGGGGAAAAGATGAGGTTTTCTACTCCCATAGAGACTCGCTGTCTCGGAAACTCGAAGAGGCCGTTCTACGCTGTCCCTTGGGCTGTTTGGAGCCGGCATCAACTTGACGGCAGTGAGCGAGAACTGTTGTTAATCCTCCCAGGACTCCTCAGCCCCGTGCTGGGTAGCCAAGGTCTTCCTACAAGAAGCAGTCTTGTTCCGGGCCAGGTTTTGATGTTGCTGGTGCGAGTGCAGCCAACGGGGCTCCATCTTACCCCCTCCAACAGGTCCCTGTCTGTCAGGAATTCCTCCTGAGAAGAAAATTCCGTACATTCCAGCCACTGCCCTGCCCTGTCAGTCATATTCCCATGGGTAGTAGAGAGCTGGAGGGAAGCTTACTTGCCAGGTAGTGTAGCTCTGGAATCTCTAGGGCCTCCCACCTCCCACCAGGCCACACAAAGACAGCAGAGCCCGGAGCTTCCAAGCCATTTCATGGATTGGAACACGGAAAACAGATTAAGTCACTTAGTGAGGATGACAGATTGAGAAAAGATGAGTCAGGCCCAGACCTGACTCTCAAGCTAGTATGTCCCCTTCGCGCTTTACTGCCTCCTTGGGACCCACCTCGACCCAGCACGTCCTTGCGATTGCTGCAGGGTAACCTTGGAGCGGGCAGAAGGTCGCAGACCAGCTCCTTCACACAGGTGGTGGGGCAGCACCCTTGCTTGAGGAAGCCCACGCCGCAGCCAAACCGCAGGTGACACTTTGTGGTTGATAGCGATTGCTGCCAACACACCGGTCACCACCTCAGGGCCATACCGTGCACAGTGGAATGAGCCACCTTCTGGTCCTAAGGCATCCCGTGACTGGATGAGGCTCAGACCAGCGCGATCCCTCGGTGTTCCCGGGGTTACCTGTCAGAAGTGATCACCAGGTCTGTCTCTAGCTGGAAGCTCTGCTGAAACCTGTTCAGCCTCAGAGCAGCAAGCCAGCCTCCACTGACAGGCTGCTGGTGGCTGCACTGGCTGGGAATCGAACCTGGGTCACCCACGTGCAGGCTGAGAAGTATACCAGTGCTCCTTAGAAGACGTGAGCCATCACATTTGTCTGCTCCCTGAGAGGCAGTGACTTGCCCAAGGCCGTGAGACACATTTACGAGGCAAAGATAGAACCAGAAGCCATGCTCTTTCTGACTCCGAGTCCTGGGTGGGCGCTCCTGACTGTGCCCTCTCTGGTGCTCACTCTTCCTCTCCAATTCACCTGGCGGGGTAGTGGCTGGATTGCTAACATTGAAAGGTCAGTAGTTCAAAACCACCAGCCGCTCCACGGGAGACAGATGAGGCTTTCTACTCCCGTAAAAAGAGTCACAACCTCGGAAACCCACAGGGGGCAATTCTCCTCTGTCCTATAAGGTTGTATCATTGACTCGATGGCAGTGAGTTTGATTTTGATTTTTTTTAGGGATCCCCCTAAGCCATCTAGGGGGTAGAGGAGAAACAGAAACACGATTT